GAAGAGGTGGGAAACGCTGAGCATGCCATGGGTCGGACAGGGGGGATGGATGTGTTGATGGAAGCGGGCGTTACGTGTGCTGTTAGGCGTGTTACACGTGCGGTTACGTGTGCGGCCGCGACACGGCGAGCACACTCGGTACCCCTGCAGCCTGACCCCAGCTACAGCATCGCTTGGAAAGAAAATCTGCGCTGGACGGGGCAAACCCTCCTCCTGATGTCCCTGCTGACGTCTGTCCTGGGGGGATGGATGTGTTGATGGAAGCGGGCGTTACGTGTGCTGTTAGGCGTGTTACACGTGCGGTTACGTGTGCGGCCGCGACACGGCGAGCACACTCGGTACCCCTGCAGCCTGACCCCAGCTACAGCATCGCTTGGAAAGAAAATCTGCGCTGGACGGGGCAAACCCTCCTCCTGATGTCCCTGCTGACGTCTGTCCTGGTTGAAAGCCAGCTCCCAGCTTCTTGGCTCTCGGCGTGCCCGGGGCTGCAGAACACCCAGGGACCTGCCTCGGGCCACGGCTGCCTAGCTGGGGCGAAACTCGGAGGAGAAAGGGCCACAACGGAGAGAGGGCGTGAAGCCGGTCACCAGCCCAGGGGCCGTGGATCCCCTGCACCGCGGAGGGTGAGGAGCAGGGGTCTCGGTCTGCCCTGGCCGTTGGGCTCTCACCAGTATTACGCTCAGCCGCAGCTACAACAGGCTGTCTGGCATAGAGAGAGAGGAGGAAGCTAAGTAAAAAGTGATGCTTGCCAGCTCTGTGTATCCTCCACCACCGGTGTGCTAGAAGAAATCCTTACCCTCGAGTGAACATTTGGAAATTTAGTGATATTATTCTTCTTTAGGGCTAAACAGAAAAAGAAACAAAACAAAACAAAACACAAAATGATGGTTAAGTAATAAATGGGATGGAGAATGAAGAGCAAGTCGACTGAGCGTTCCGAACTCCCAGGCACGTTAGCCGACAGAGCAAGAGGGGTCAGGCCAAGGCCGCGAGAGGAGGTTAGGCACGGAGAGGAAAGGACGGGAGGGCCTCTCGCTAACCAAACTCCAAGCTGCTTTGAAGATTGGCTCCAGGAAGGTACCACAGAAATTAACTCAGAAGAGCAACCAACCACCGAGCTGATTACGGTTAGCAGTTTTATTAGAAGCATTCACAAAAACACACATCACGGAGGGCAGCACTGTTGTCTTCCACAGCAGCCCAGTCCTCCGCTGAAGACGACAGTGCCAGCAGCCATGCCGGGTTAAGCGCACCCTCCTCACGCCACGCGCCCCGCTGCCCTCGACAGAGCCGGCGTGGAACTGAGCGGAGTTGAAGATGGATGCGACCGAGCGAGCAGAGGAAGCTGCGCGTGCGTCTCGCATGCAGGGAAACATGCAGGGGCTGGTTAGCAAGCCTAGAATGAAACACTCCTGGCAGAGGACGTACGTTACTACAGGCAGCCCTGCCCACCCCAGGAAAGCCCCGCTGCCTCCATGCAGCCCGCAACTTTGCTTCATCTTCACATGTGGACATGGCATAGAAAAGCCAAGTGAACCGTCACGTCTCGCTGCGTTTGGTCTCCCAAGTCTCGGGCGCCGCAGGCGACCCGCGCCCCGTCCGCCGTGACTCCGCCACTCGCTGTTCTATGGCAGCCCGGAGCGGGGCCGGACGCGGCACCGGGATGGCCGAAAGCATCGAGCGCAAGGTCGATGGGATGGAACGAGACGTTGCCGAAAGACGAGAGCATGCAACAGAGGTGACACAAACACAACTTCAGGCGGACGCCGGACGTTACTACACACTCAACGTTCACACGAGCCTGGCTGAGATCCGGACAAACGGGGAAGTGCCAAAAAAAAAAAAACCTCTACAGCGACCTTTCTGTTTTCTAAGAGCATCAGATGTGAAAGGGGAATAGTTTAGTAATGGAATTCCTCAGTGAGAACAGGTTCGCAGAAGAACCGAGAGCCCCGCTTGGCGGTTCGGGCGGTAAAGGGCACAGTCTTCAGCACTGCATGGGAACAACAGCCAGACAGACAAACAGAGCCGTCAGACGCGCGGCCATCGCATTAGTACGCGGTTAGCGCCGGGGGACGGACGCCTGGGGACCGGGCCCTGGGATCGCTTCGTCACCCTTTGGCCACGAGGCCGCTGCCGGCCCCGGCGCGAGCGTTTCTCCCGTCCCGTTGCTCTCCGCAGGCTGGAGACACCGCAGCGCTCTGCCCCTTTTCTCAGGCGCCGTCCGCTTTGGAACGACGCTTTCAGCCGTTTCCACCCCGCTGGCAGAGATCTCGCGGGCCGCATTCGAGCGGCCCCGGTCCCACCCGGCCTGACCTTTCTCATCCCACGGCTTAAGGCCCGCAGAGACACCCCCGCCACGGGAAACACCAGGCACAAGACCACGGGACAGGTCCCAGCGGAGTCTCCCTGCACCGGGCTGCCCTTGGCGTGCGGATGGCCTTCTGCCCCACCACCGATTTCTGCCGCAGAGCAGGAGAACCGCTTTACCAGTCCCACAAGCTCCCAGGAGTCTGAAGGAGTTGCAGAAGCAGCAAGAGATTAGATATTACAGCGACTCTGCCCTTTATTTAAAGAATGCTATCTTAGGAAGCTATTAATCAAGGTTAAAGGGAGTTGTGAAAGCTTCGAGCATTTCAGCCCTGTCATCCAGCTGGGCAAAAATTCCCTGGCTTTGCTTAGTGGGTGGCAAAACAGCTCTCCTCCCCTCCTGCAGAAAAAAACCCATGAGAAAAAACGTTCGGGAGCAGCAGCCAAGGAAATTCTGCCCAAAGACCTTTTCTGGAGCTCCTGTGCGATGGAAACCAAGCACTGCAAAGCTATCGGAGCGTCAAAATCGCGTTCCCTCCTCACCGCGGGCGAGGAACGCGCAGTGAAGTCACCGCGCTGCGATCAGAGCAGCCGTGTAGACCGACAACGATCTGACTCCTGCCCAAAACGCCCTTTCCAAGGCAGCTCATTTCATCAGCACCGAAGCCCTGGCTGGGTCCGGCTACGACAGCGGGTTCTGCGCCTCTGCCCCCAGCCCTGGGCTGCCCACCAGTCCGAGCAGCAGGGAAACCAGCGGCGTTGGGGGTCGTAAATCATCCAGGCCCCACTAAACGATGCGCCCTAACTGCGTGATAATGTGCTGCCATCACTGCTGGTACATCTTAATGACAGTGTAGGCTCTTAATAATGCAAAACCTCCGTCGCTCGTTCCATTTATGGGGAAAAAAATGGTTTCTGGGAAGGCTCTGCAGGGCATGGGCAGCCCCACCGGCGCGTCTGCCGGGATCCGGTGCCACCTACGCGAACGGCCGGAGACCGAGCGCGTCCCCACACGCTGGAGAAGAGCGAAGGGACCATGCGAGCGCCCGAGCTGACACGTAAAGGCTCGTTACTGGGCTCTGTTACGTGCCCTGCGCAGAGGTTCCTATGCTGGGTTCACAGCGTGCAAAGCCCTGGGCTGTGCTTGCGTAACGCTTTGTTAAGAACGACACAAAGCACTTACAACAGCTAGTAGGCAGCTACACGTTCTTATTTGTTGTGCATGAGCCTCGGATCAGGGAACTGCAGGCGTTTACCTGTGATAATGTCCTCGATAGCACCGTCCTTCCCTTCGTAGACGTGCCTGTTGTCCTTGACCTGCCGCCGCCGCAGCTCTGCGATCAGCTCTTGCTGCTGCCGCTTTGTTTTGTGTGAGGGAGACTGAAAGCAAGGGAGAGAGGACGGGTAAGCGCCGACCCCCAGCTCCCCCCGCACGGGAAGCACAGAATCACAGGATCCCAGCATGGTCGGGGTTGGCAGGGCCCTCTGTGGGTCACCCAGCCCAACCCCCTGCCCAAGCAGGGTCACCCAGAGCAGGGG